GTAGCGCATAATAACTGTAGGAAAGATGAAGTCAATAAGAAAGTATAATAGAAAAAGTGAAATATACTTTTTCCTTGTTTAAGAGAATGGTGAAGTTGATGACGAACTCGAAAAATATCGATAACGCAGAGACGATCATCACTAATATAATCACGCTATCTTTTTCGCATTTATTATATATTCCTTACAAAAAAATATTACTAGTAATTACTAAAGAAATAGTAGTCATCAATCCCTGTTCAATGATTCAGTAATTATTTGGCGAATTATTATATATGGTACATTTTTTGTTAAATTTCCAAAAATTTAGCTATCAGATATCCAGGCACTCTAATACTCTTGAATATTTTATTTAAATAATAAAAAATATATATTTCGTATTTTGTCGCTGGTTTCGATCCCATAGTATCGTCCATCCTTTCTTATATCATGTTATCTACTGCTTCATCTAATAATCGAATTGAAACTAATCGTGCCAATGAGTTATAATAATACGTTGATAGATTATGCTTATAATATGTTCTTGAATCACTCTCTCAATCAAAAACTTGTGTTATTCAAAAACTATTATAATGGCATATTTATTAGTAAATATTAAAAACGACAATCGGAATGTGACTGATACTGGTATAATGTATTGGGAGTGTGCATTAATTTTAAAGGATTTTCAAGAGATAGCATACTATATCGCATCGGGCCATATTGTTGCTACCTTCATGTCAAAGCATCATCATGTGGCTTTAGTTTTCAGTATGTGTCATTTTGCCGAAGTGTAAACAACATTGTTTTTTTGAGCATTGAATATGTCGAATTTTGTGCCAACAAAACACAATTTGCCGGAAGCTTTGCTTTTTTGCTTCCATTTGAAGAAAAGTGCTACTGAAAGTCAACGAATGCTATCGGAAGTTTATAGTGATTATACTCCATCGATTTCAACATATAAATACTGGTTTCGACCCTATAAAAAAGGTGATTTTGACACGGAAAACAAGGAACGTCCAGGCCAGCCAAAAAAGTTTGAAGATGAGAAAGTGGAAGCTTTACTCGATCAAGACCCGAGTCAAACGCAAGAAGAACTTGCAGAATCATTAAATGTTGATTGATCAACGATTTCTAGACGTTTGAAGGCCATTTGAATGATTCAAAAGCAAGAAATTGGGTGTCATACGAATTAAAGCCGAGGGACGTCGAAAGACGCAAAATGACCTGTGAATTGTTGCTTTAAAGACACAGAAGAAAAAGTTTTTTGCATCGTATCGTGACGGGTGATGAAAAATGGATACGCTACGATAATCCGAAGCGCAAAAAATTATGGTGCAGGCCAGGCGAATCATCAACATTGACGGCAAAACCGAATATTCATGGCGCAAAACTCATGCTTTGTATTTGGTGGGATCAGCTAGGTGTATTATGAGTTGCTCCAACTCAACGAAACCATCACTGGGGAACGCTACCAACAATTGATGCAATGGAGCCGAGCATTGAAGCAAAAACGGCCAGATTACGCGAAAAGACACGACAAAGTAATTTTCTAGCACGACAACGCTCGGCCACATGTTGCAAAACCGGTCAAGGAAACGTTAGAAGTGTTTAACTGGGATGTCCTATCACACCCGCCGTATTCTCCAGATATTGCTCCTTCCGATTACCACCTATTTCGATCGATGACTCATGGCCTGTCTGAACAGCGCTTCCATTATTATGAGGATACCAAAAAATGGGTCGATTCGTGGATAGCCTCAAAAGATGTGTCGTTATTTCGACATGGAATTCACCTATTGCCAGAAAGATGGGAAAAAGTAGTGGCTAACGATGGACAATATTTTGAATAATCAATTTGTAACCATTTCTTCACAATAAAGCCGTATTTGTACTAAGAAATCCCTTAAAATTAATGCACACTCCCAATATATTAGCGAACCATTAACAACATGATTGATAACAACTTTTAGATTTTTAACTAAACATTATAACTAAACATTATAAGGGAACTAGAGCAAACAATAAGTTAGTTTGAGAAATACAAAATATGAAACAATTCATACAAATCATGAGAAAATTAATGTTTTTTTTTTCGTTATTAGAGAATAATTCTCAACAGATTCAGATAATTCATCACAAGAACTTAATAATACATCAGTGATTATCCCTATCGCCGTAATCACTGAATTATTTTGTAGCATTAGTAACTTTTGTAATTTAAATATTCAAAATCATTAGTCATTAGTAAAACTACTGAACAATAATAATTTATTAATAAACTACCAATAATACTTTTCTGTAAGAAATATAGAAATTGTGTAAATGTATGTTATTTCATCTGTCATATTCAGCAACCACACACATGTGTAGAAATTTTTCTGCAAAATTTTTTTCTGATATTCTTAAGCTTCTAAATTCAAACGTGAAGGTACAGCAATGTTGTTCAAAGTTTTTCTGTTTGGAGCATCTACACTTTCGATATGTACAAGCTACGGAACTTTTAAATTAAGTTAACTGTTGGCTTGAGATTTTACTGAATATTACGCTGACTGATAGCTTGAGATTTTACATTTAATATTTTTTTGTTCGTTTTCATCATATAATGAATAATGTTCTTATTTATTTTTGCACGTACTTTCATTGCGTAAAAGCATTTGTAATCCTGTACAAATAATACGACATAAATGTTGCAGAAAAATGTCAGTATTCTGTCGGTAAAGTTTTCAGCATCTGTAACCCCTTGTTTAATAGATGGAGAGAACTCCCCCCTCTCTCTCTCTCTCTCTCTCTCGCTTTTATTTTTCCAAAATATCGTCTTCTCCTGGAATCGTATTAATAATCGTTTTTTTTTTTTTTTTTTTAATAAACAGTTTTATTTCAAACATTTTCGATAAAATCTTGCATTTAACGCTAAGAACTTGTTTCATAACATCGCGCTTAATTCGTTAATCTTTTTTGATTAATATTTTCAACGTTTCGTGATTATCTGAAAAATAGTAGGGAGCTTTTTGCTCAGATTGACATTTTTTACTTGCACACTGCGGCTGTGTCGCGAGTGTCAGACATTTCTATGTATATCACAATCAGTGATATGAAATTAACCTAAAAGGATGCAGTCGCATACATGCAAAAAATGATTCGATTGGTATTACCGAATTTCAGTTACGACAACCGAAATTTTCAGTTCCTCAAGAATCAACTGAAAAATCAGTTGTTACAAAAAAGAAATTCTGTTAGAAAGTTCCTGTTGTGCCAAACATATATTCAGTCATCCTAATTGAATTGAAATGTTGTGGAAGATACAATATTTAAAAAAATATATTTATATATTCCTAATTTTCTCATATCTCATAACCCACTAGATATCGAAGGTTATTAACACACTCTAAACTTTCGTGAATCCTCCCGCGATAATTTCGGTCCCAAGCGGTATACCATCCATCCATGTCCTGACTCTGTTAAAGTGTTGCCTCGTGACAATCGAGCGGCACGTAGCGATTCCCGATGACTCCAATAATATTCTTACGATTTATTCTTATATAATATATTCTTATAGGTTCACAGTATATTATAACATATCTAGTAAACACCAAATAATAGTTATATAATTTGCTGATAGATATTGGAACAACAGTCGATATGCGGTGAATATTGATGTGATATAGTGAATCAGTGATAATTATTTTTAAATTTTTAACAGAATATTATAATTATTAATCCAAAGAAAAAAAAATAAAATCCAAGAAAATCCAAATTAAACAAATCGAATTACTAAATTTTGAAAGAAACTTTTAAAAAATACCATTTAAAACAATAGTGTTGTTTCATCAAATGACATGATTTCCTTGAACGAAATAAAAGTTTTGCGAAAATATGGCTCATCTAACAATACGGATCACTATCCATAACTGTTCTTTCAACTTTTCGGATGCGGTAACCTTAATGTCGTTTCTTGTTGCTATGTACCATTCAATCCTATACCTTCTATGAGAGCAACAGAATAATCATCTGCGATAACTATTTTTTTGGAACGGAAAACTTTAGTTCCTCCAATCAAAAGCAATCGTTGATATGAATAATTCTTCAGTTATTGGAACAGACTTTTTTGTTATTGCAACTGAACCTTGTGTAACAGAAAGTTTCTAGCTGTCACTACAGAATATTTTTTGCGTGTAGAAACGTAAAATCAATTACAATAATGAAACAAATAAACTACTATTAAGTGATTTTTGGAATACTTTTTCGATTTGTAGTAAAATAATATTTTCTTATTTGACCTCTTCTCAAAATCTTCTCAAAACCTCATTTTGAAATAAATCTCAAAATAAAACTATTGAAACATATTGTATCTTAAAAACTATTTCAGTTAAAATTTTCAGCAGAAACACGACGGATTATTACGGGCCTTAAAATATTAAGTGACAGAAAAGCATTTGATATTTGTCCTTTAATCTTGTCATCAACTATTCGATAAGTGATTATACGCAATCCCCTTATAGAAATTTAATACTAATAAGTGATTATTTGGTCAGTGATAATTACTGTCGTTCAATAATTTTATTACTCGTACGAGTAATAAAATTACTATTTATTACTGGCCAGCCAGTGATACTTTTCTATAAGGGTCTATTCTATAAGTCTATAAGCATTAGGCAGTATTTTTTGTATATTATCTAAGATGAAGCTAGTATACATTCAATAAATGGAAACCGCTTTACATTTTTTCAGGCAAAACATAGTAATAATTAATACGTTGTTGATACTGACTAGATATCACGGTTAAGTATTTAACGTTTCTACTTTACTTACTTTATCGTCTGAGAATATACTCATGAAAAGGAAAAAAAGCGCTCAAGAAAAATAGCGAATACGCCACGAGGACCACTTACGTAACTGACAAAGCCTTGCGTTTGTTTAGCGTTACGCGCATAAACGTAATGTAGGTAATGTTACTAAACAATCAATCGATACATGATTGAGAGATCAGTAGACCGTATTAATTGTTTATGGATACTTACAGGTCGAACACTCTGTATACCAGCCGGGCCAAAGAAATATTCCCTTCCGTACGCAACTATCGCCGTATGCCATATTCCGTCCAACTGACGACCTACGAAAGTCGGAAATTAGTGCTTGAAACAAAAGACTACGCTACATTCTTATGGGAAAGTGTCCTTTTGCGTATTTGGCTAATTTTTTTAATATGTTGTAGTCATTCTGAATAAATGTCTCAATGGATACTTGATCATATGAGCCATTTCTGTAGTGCAAACCCTAAAGGGTCCAAATTTAACATGTAAAGGTATAGACTTTTCGAGTCAATATATGTGACTCTCGCAATCGAATGTGCGTGTACGCGTACGTATGTGTGTGTATGTGTATATATATATATATATATATATTGTTTTTTTTTTTACATTAATCGCACAAAAATTTAATTAATAATTAAGTTATCGAAGATTCGATAAATAAATATAATTTGAAATATGCATAAATCTTTTACTTTGTTTCATTGACTTTCTATTATTGTACTCCCCTATATCGTACAACTAACCTTTTTTTAAACCGGAATTCATTATAAATTATGTATAAATTAATGCAACGCAGTAGTATTGTAATGCTGATTCTGAATAATCATTATGACATTTAACTTTTTTACGGAGCATTAGAGAGAATTATACGATTGATAAGGGTGGAATACTTTAGACAATTGTTAAGGGGTTACACTACTCTAGAATCCGAAAATTAAGCGTATTTTTGAGAATTTTTTGTGGGCAAATAAAGAAATAAATCGAAAATTCGTTTAGAAGGCTTTATTGTACACATTTTAAAGTGTAAAATTTAAAGTGTTTTAAAGTTCAAATTTTTATGTTAACATATATTACAAGATGGCGGAGCTAGAGTCTTATCAGCATGAGCGTGTTTTTCGAAACGGGGTTCCGGGGCTTGCAGTATAAGTCGCGAATGTTGATCTAGAACAAAAAACCAAAATGTTCTGTCATCTACGTGCCAATTGCTAGAGAAGTACATAGGGAATTTTTTAAATATTTATTTTTATAGAAAAGGCACGCATTTAAAGAAAAAGCTTTATTTTGTATCCTAAAAACTTCGTTGAAAATTATTTATAAAAATAATTATTATAAAAAATGCGTAAAATTTTCAATATATCAAAAATTTCCTACGTACTTCTCTAGCTATTGGCATGTAGATGACGGAAAATTTTGGTTTTTTTGTCAATTGCGACACTTATGCTGCAAGTTCCCAATCACCGTTTCGCTCATATTGACACGATTCTATCGCCGCCATTTTGTAATATATGTTAATATAAAAATTTGAATATACATTTTAAAATATATACAATAAACCTTTTTAATGATTTTTTATTAATTTCTTTGTTTATCCACAAAAATTCTCCGAAAATTATTTTCGGACGCTAGAGTGGTATAGCCCCTTAAAGAAAGTAACTTTGTGAGAAATTGGAAAGTAATAGACTGTAATAAATAAAATTTTATTTATTACTATATACTATAATACATAAAAAAAATAAATTATAAATTTATGCCAACAGCTGATAATTATTACTTGTGTCAAAAGTAACTACCGAAAAATTCGTCAGATTCACATATATATCCATACTCTACGCCTATGACATTTGTCGGATATACGTCTACAGTACCTAAAAAGTTACATGTTGGATGAATAAATATTGATGTATGAATTTCATTAATATGAATTTCTGTTAAACAATATAAGATTTATATAGCTATAACTATAATAGTAACGATAAAAGAAAAAAGATGTAAACAATTATGCATATTAATAAAATAAAATCACGCAAAAAATTTCTGTTTACTGAGATTTAATTATAATACTCAACGATAAAATTTTCCATATTAAATTCCTTCGAAAATCACAGTGAGAAACTAACCGATTCGGATTTCAAAAGAATTTGGAACTATGAAGATTCGTTCTATTTGCGTCTGTACTGGCGTGATCCAACAAAGTAACCTCGAGACAAGCTTAAGCTCGTACGCACGATACTCTTATTCAAGGACTGACGGTAATTCAACGAAGACAACAATATTTGCCATCTATCCTCGCATAAATTCACCCGTTAGAACGATGCATAAAACGCGAGAACCTCGCGTACCCGGATGAAGCTAGAGCTTGCGGACTTCGTACCTCCTTTCGACCCAGTTCTGTACCGCGGAAATAGCTAAGTACATCCGCGTACATGCTTCGTAGCTTTCTCATTGCGCGTTGAAAGCGAGAGAAGTCGCGTCGACCCCACAAGAAATAACCTGACCGTTATATTTTATTTCCAGAGCGGTGTGAGACGCAACGTTGCTCGGACGTGTATCCGCTTCATGACAAATTTGAAAATGCAGTGTTACATTAACATCAACGAATAACATAAGGAATAACAACAACATAAGAATTTGTGCGTCGTAACATCAGACGTATTCCACCAACAAAACTATTCATAAATAAATTATATGTAAATCTGAATAAATAGATCATACATAAATATGGAAAAATAAAAAAATCACCTATTCAGGACGTTTCCAAAATCACTGCGTTTTTCGCATAAAATCGGTAAATTAAAAAAAGACTTAATAGCATGATTATTGGTTTATTTTTATACAAAAAATTATATCTGGAAAAAAAAGAATTATATATAAAAATTAAAATTTTAATTAATACTTTCAACGTATACTCCATCAATGTCTCTGCAAATGGCAATTATGTTGTGGAACACATTTTGAATATAATTTCAAGGATCATTTTCATATAAAAATAATTTCTACTTGTGCATTAAGTCGTTTTTTTATTTATACGATTTCATAGAAATAATCGAGTAAATTCTGAAACATCCTGTATTAAAAAGTAACTTATTAGTTGTAGTGTTTAATAGCAGTATGCGAAAACGATAACAATAGAATATCCACCTTATCATTTTCTATACTTTCTCCAAAAATGTTAAATACAAAATAAATTTTTAAGTTTTATTTAAAAATTGCCCCATTGCGCGCAACCTATTGCAATTGCTAATTTGCTTAGATCAAACGAACCCTTTTCTCGATGTCGTGACAAACAGCAGGATGCTAATTGGACGTACACGTGCTCGAAAATAGAAGATCTTTTCGCGAATAAGCGAAAGGGTGTGCGAACGAACCTTGGTTACGTGGCGCAAACAGTCGACGATGCCGACACGCATGTGTTGTGCTTTATACCGTTCGTACAGAGTTTCGTTCAGATTGCGCTCCACACCTCTCCATGTACTTCCGCACCACGTTACACATGCAATTCTTTAAATTATTGCCACCACATATCGTGTGCGTTTATACTGTGTGCTTTTTACTTGTGCGCACTTTGTGCCTGCTGTTTGATCCTTCGAGCAGTCTATTCTTACCTATTTTTGCAATTGTAATTTTAAAAACTTTCTCGATGACAAAAGCTACGCAATTTTTCTGCGAAACAATTCAGCAATAAACTAATTATTGCTGTGAATCACTTCTAACATATTACTAATCGCAATAATAATTACATCACAATTATTCTTGATATTTATATGTTAATGTAGCATTATTTTGAATGGATTTCCTATACCTATTTTGCGTTGTCCTTTTTGCATCTTGTACGCAACGACTTATTTCGATGATTACTGCAATGTATTTCTCATTATATCGTACAAACCAAAATCTAACGCGGAACATTATTCTACTGGATTTATTACAAGAGATGACCGGATAAAATATTGTTGAATAATTCAACAATACGCAAACAACGCACGCTTTCTGAGTCATCATCGCCCAAAGTGTCACTGCTTCGTAGCAGTTGTTTATATTTAAATCGTCTTTGATCCAAAATCGTCGTACAATTTGGCAAGAATCGCTCCGCATTAACAACGTTTGATTTCTTCCACTGAGAAGAGCGATGACGAACGTGGCGCGCGACGTAGTTGCAGCCGTGTGCAGTGATAAGTCATAATCAAGTTATAGGCATGACTCGCGAAATTGAACAGCACAAGTCGAGAATTGATCGAAATTGAGTTTCCGCGACCATTACGAAGTTCTTTAACATCATACAGTATGCTCATATAGTAAGATGCTTGAAGTGAGATTCGTCACATACCCTCAAAATTTCTTAGAGTGAAATCTCGTTTGGAAAGTAAGGTGACAACGAATGAGTCACACAAATATGAATAACTTTTCATTCATATAAAGGAAATTGTCCACTCTGATTTGCCAAATGAATATTTTCACTTGAAATTGAAGAATAAATCTAATTTTATTGTTATAAGATCACATTTATTATAATTCGATTGACACTAACTCGTATGAAATCTACTTCAAGCTTTGGAGAAACATTCATTTTTATGATTCTGAATAGTGACATTTTTTTTATTATTTGAAATAAATTTTTGCATGTTTTGAATAAGATTTCACTTTAAAAAATTTAGATAGTAGTTTTCTTTTTATTATTATAGTATTTTTCCTTCCATTTTCGATTATAATGTTCCATTATAGAAATCACGGTTGTTGTTTATGTGACAATAATAAAGAAAGACGTTGCGTTACGTTTTCCTTTCTTTAAATAACATTCCACCAACTCAAGGTAAAAGAGCTTAAAATTGTACCCTGTAAAAACACAGTAATGCGTAGCATTTTTCCTCGATAAATACCCGATTGAATATTACGGTGCGTATCTTATATATATGATGTATTTTACAATTATTTAGAACAATGATACGCAAAAACTTCTTCAAAGACTCATTTATCTCCAAATCCTCTTAAGTTCTGTTTAAGATTATTATATCATGATACGAGCTTCGTGAGAATTTGATGAAACTCGCAGTACTTACATAGTGATTTCTATAATGGAACATTATAATCGAAAATGGAAGGAAAAATACTATAATAATAAAAAGAAAACTACTTTCTAAATTTTTTAAAGTGAAATCTTATTCAAAACATGCAAAAATTTATTTCAAATAATAAAAAAAATGTCACTATTCAGAATCATAAAAATGAATGTTTCTCCAAAGCTTGAAGTAGATTTCATACGAGTTAGTGTCAATCGAATTATAATAAATGTGATCTTATAACAATAAAATTAGATTTATTCTTCAGTTTCAAGTGAAAATATTCATTTGGCAAATCAGAGTGGACAATTTCCTTTATATGAATGAAAAGTTATTATCAAACTGTTCGTGTAATTAGAAAAAAAATATTTGTAACTAAAGTTGACACTTTTGTGTTTCTTGAGAATAATGTTCTATTTTTAATTTCTATTTTTAATATCTTTTAAACACTACATGTAATATTTTGATGAAAAACTATTATACTATTAAAGCCTATTTTATCTATATACAGATATATATCTTAAAATTATTAACCATTCTATTTTAAAAATATAATAGTGGAAAAAGTGAAAAATATAATAGTGGTTCATTATTTATAGTAATACTGAAAATACATAAACATATATTTAAATACTTATATACTTATATACTTCTTTTTATTATCCATCTCTAGACTTTTATAATGTATCTATTATAACATCTCTGTAATAAAATTAGTGCAATAATGTACTTATCCGAAAAATAAAAAATAATATTTTTTTCGAATTTATATAATATTGTGTGTATATATTTATTTATTTTTTTATTTATCTCAATTTCGTTTCAAATTAACAGTGATACTTAATGAAATAAGTGTAAGAAACGTAAAAGAAATAAAAGAAACGTAATTGTATTTGATAAATAATAAATTTATAACTAACACCGTTAATACGCCACTAAAAAATGACACCTAGCAATAAAAATTACATTAAGTAAGCTAAGTAGTATTAAACACAAAAATTAATAATCCTCACTGTAAGATTAAGCGTTCGTTTTTTCCTTTATATTCTTTTTTTTCTTTATGAATATAGAAAAATAACTTGATTCTTTGTTTTGGAGAAATATCCCTACAACAATATTTCCTAAAATATTTCATATTTCTAGAAAATCATTTGTATTCTTTAAACTTAAAGAGATAAATAAATTCATATAGATTATATTTTTAAATGAATATTATCATTTTCCCGCTCACCTATGAGTAATCGCGACATCATTGCTGCCATACCCTTAGTAAGGTCATAAATGTACAGCTCCACTGTCGTCCTCATATCTTCCATGTCCTCCATTTTGGCTGTCTGAGAAAAAAGAAATTCTTTCTAACTAAACTCAGTATAGTTAAAAAGTGGTTAGAGATTTAATTGCCAAATTATCAACTTTAAACATTATTTCTTTTTCTTTCAAGATATAGAACTCCCTACGTAATATAATGCAACTCAATATACTGCTTTTGGTGAGCGGAATATATTTTCTTTTAACAAAATGATTATTCTTAGCGTATATACTGCGTATATACTGCGTGCCGACATACCCTTACGACTTTTGCTCTGTCGGACGTAACGACTCGGAGACGTAAATATATCGCTCGTCCCGGAGCACAAATAGGAGACATGCTTCCACACCACCCCGTATATGACTCAAAGTGTCTCTCAAAAATACTTCATAGCGTGTTTCGATAGGAAAATGATGAGGTAATATATCGGTAATATATCGGTAATACATCGGTTACTTTTAAAACATCTGTCACCTTCTTATTTGACGACGGTATTAAGAAAGTTCTAAATGCCAAAAATAAAAATCTCAGGTCAAACTCCTTCACGAAGTAATTTTCGTTTATTTTGAGTAGTATGCGTTGCAATGAAAATATATCTCACATTCTATTAGCATACGAGAAGATATATACTAAAAAAACTCGGAAATCTCAAAGATCTCGTATCTAAAAAACCAAAGAATTTTCAGAATATATATCACCAAGATCCAGAGAATAATACGCGATAAATAATCCGAAGAATGATAACTAATTTTAGTTTTTTTAATGATCGATAAGTTGATTCTGAAATGCAGAGTTTAAGTAGATATGAAAAAAAATTTAGAGAGTGTAATATTCGCAACCCTTGTATATGTCAAGCCTTCGATTACAGCAAATATTTCTATGTGCTTGCATACATTTCTACATTATGGTTATAGGTATGTTCATTTTAGTTAAATTAGATTGCACTTTTTGCTTTTAAAAAGAAACAAATAATGTAATATTGAGTAATGTAATATTGAACAAAATAAGAACGAATTTCCTGTGCTGCACATAGTTTAGCTAAAAAGAAAAAACTTATCTCTAACGCTGTATCTATTCAACTCAAATTGAAGTATTGAGTTGCGCGCGTGATATGAGACTATGATGAATCAGCGATTTAGATGCGTGTCTGTGTACATACAGAATATCATTAAGCGATCGTTAAGTGATCACCGTACGTATACTTGCAGTATATTTACACAGTTCAAGCTCTACTTGCGATTAATTTTAAATTAATTAAATCATTAATTAATGAACATAAAAAATCTTTTGCTAAATATAAAACATTAATTAAATAGCTAGCTTATGGAAATTTCAAAAAGAGGATAAACTAAGAATAAATTGCCCAATGTAAAGAAAATAATAACGAATATACGATAAAGAAAAAAATAGAGAGAAAGAGGCGACGCAACGTGTAACATCTTACCTTACTGCTCTCATTGACGGCTAACAGGTGGATAAATTATCGGCTGCAAGCTTCGCGGGAAAGAGTCAGACGTAGGAGGCAGACCTCCTGACGAACGATCGGATAAGTCGATCAAAGCCGACGACAACGACAAGAAAAAACTGACAATGACTGATGCAACAAAGAACGCGATACTAAGAGGAACTCGACGCGTTTCTAGATATTTCTCAGGATGCGCTTCTCGCACTAGATGGCTACCGGCTAGCAAATGCAACTGATCGCATCGAAATTCTCATCAGAGTACGCACTCGCTCTCAGCATGAAGTCCCTCACGCACGGCGCGGTAGTCGTTCTTGGCAGGAAGAAATGGTAAAGAGGTAAGAGGGTCATAGCGGAGGCAGCAGTGTCCAACTATATCTACTCGTCGCGTCGCGGCATCACGGCCAATAGCACGCTCGCTCTCTCTCGCTCTCGCTTTCTCTCTCTTTCTCCCTTCTTTCTTTCCCTCTCCCTCTCTCGTTCGCGTTAATACCTAATCGCCACTCTTAGGTGACACAAAGTTGTCGCATGACAGTGGACAGTTACGAGCGCGGTTCTAACGCCATTGATTGTTTCTTCTATTTGCTATCACTTATCAAACGATACGGTAGCATCGTGACGCCAAGTACATATATAAAGACGAGTATCCAAGAGTGACAGATCCGAGATGTGACTATGTTCATAGTATATAACCATTTCGATGCTACCAACAAGTTTTTTTCGGAGTACGAAGATCATACTTCTAACTAAAACATCTCGGGAATAAAGCCGCAATGGAAAATCTAATTGCATTTCTGACAAAAATGTTAATATAAGCTTCCAATTGCGACCAATTTGATAAAAATTAGTGCAGTCAGTCCTGAGATCTGAAATTATCACAACCCAAAATACAAATTTTTAACGACCGAATTTTGCTTCGGACATCAATTGTTTAAGTCTTCTTTACAACATTGTGGCAATGTTTAAATCTATTGTACATCATGTCGTAGCGATAACGCTCTAATATATCGTTTCTATGTAATGTAATAATTGTAATGTAATAAATGTAAAGTAATAAATGTAATAATTGAGGTACGTATTGAAATACGTATATCAAGCAACGCAGAAGCACTTGCGTCTTTAATCGTATGTAAACGTGGCGATAATATTTTAAAAAATAAAAATTTATTGTAAACCACAAAGATGTTTTACTAAAAAAGAGTAAATCGTATGTAATCGTGGTGATTATATTTAAAAAAATTCGCAATAGCATTCGCACTATCACTTTTATTTGGTCAACAAGCAGGTGGAGTTATTTATGAACACAGTTTAATGAGTCAACATTTAGCAATAATGTTTCAATTAAACAAAATAGAACAATTTTTTAGTTTTCAAGAAGAGAGAAAATTATTAACAAAGATAGATAATAGAGCGCAAAAAAAATAGCAAGTTCAAAATAAATAAGATTTCCATAATATTGTTAATATAGTAATAAAAGAAGATATTAAACCACTTAATATAAATGTAAATATAAGTAACAGTAATGACATATTAAATATCATTAAACATTCAGATTATATCATAGTAAATAAAACATTGGAGATTACATCAAAATATATATATATAATGCTGGAAAAAATAGAAAGAAAAAATTTATTATAAATAATTCTATTATATATTCTATTATATATAATTTTATGTGTTTTTATATATAATACAATAGTGTTTTTATATATAATATAATTATATTATATTATATATATTATAATTATATTATATATAATATAATTTATATATAATATAATATATAATGTAATTATTATATATATAATATTATATATAATTTTATACTTACGCAGAACATTGTCAATATTTAAATACTAATATATAATACTTTGCTAAGTGATGAAATACTTACGCAAATTACTGTTAAGATTAAAAGTATTAACCTAGACAGCATACAATATTAGTAAGTTATTAGATAAATATTTATAAATATTTATTTTGAATTACTTTTTTAAAATGTTATATATATATATATATATAT